CCCACATCCGTGCAAAATTGGAAGAGCTGATCTGGGACGCGGTTCCCCCCACCCACCTATTCCCCTGACATTGCCCTCTCTGATTATCACTTATTCATCCCCTTAAGGCATTCCTAGCGAAGAAAAAATTCACCAAAGTTGAAGACGTTGAAAGAGCGGTCAGCGATTTCTTTGACTCTCAGTCTGCTCAGTTCTGGGAGAAGGGGGTCGCTGACCTGCCCATTAGGTGGGACTCTGTAGTGAGTAACAATGGTGATTATATTGTTGAGTAGATTCCATTGTACGCGGAATAAAAAAGTAAAGCACAAAAAAGTGTCAAACGGCTCAGGACTTTCTTACCATCCTAATATGTATATTGCGAAAATTTCATCACCGGGGATCGAACTCGAGACCATTTCTTCACCAATGTTTTGACATTCCTGGAGGCGTTCAGGAAAAATGGATCATGGTTCTGTGTTCCTCGTATGAGCCCCTACAACATGCAGAAAACCATTTCGAAAAAGCGCTCCATGTCCTGAAAGACCTCCTTGTCAGAGCGTTACCGGGAGTTTTTTTTTGCTTTCTTCATCTTCTCCAGACGTCCGCTCCTCCATCTCTATTATTGAACTATCTCACACAGCCATTCATCACAGAGATTGCCTTCAAAGCAAGGAATTATTCCAAGCTACGCCTTAGAATCCAAAACGGCTCAATAGATGGAAAAAGGTAGCTGGACGCTTAATTACCTTCTGGAATGGCTATTTTATGCGGCACTAGATTATAGGTTTTATTGGACTTCTTGGCCCCTGGCATTCTGTAATCAAAAATCGCCGTAGTGGCTGCAAAATTGGCAGCAGACTGTTCAGCACTTCTGAGAACATTTGATTCAATCAGAACTTTCAGGCGCTCTTTGTCAAGGTCCGACTCAAACAAAACCATTATTACCGTCCAGACTCTCTACCTTGATAAAAACTTTCAAAAGCACAGCTGCCGTCCCATTTCGCACCAATACATTTGCACCCGTGTGCAAGAACCCCACCAATGTGAACCTGGGATATGCCTTCAAGGGAGATTCCACGATAAGATCCAAGTTCGAGGAAGGGCAAATATGCCTAGAAAAGGCAAGCGCTGACCCACGAGGATGCAGGACGATGCGTGTCTTGCAGCACGAGATGCCCCGGCTCCAGCAGAGGCGCGCCTGCGCCGCTTACGCCTCTGTTCGCCCACCGACTGTCTGACCCCTACAGTCGGACTCTAGTAGCCATGAACTTCACTGCTTTTGTGACGTAACCACCGATGAGACTTGCTCCAGTGATGATATGGCCTATCCGAAAAGAGTCCCATTCCTCGTTCCAGGTCGTTTTTTCTCTTTTTTTGTTCATCTGTGCATCACTGACCAACTCTACCTTGATTTCTAATGGGCTACCTTTTTATCGCAAACTCCGCCTTTGAATACAATCTCGCTCTACATACACACAGTCTAAAAAGTTGGTCGACATACGCTCATTGTTTACACAAGCAGACAAGTATTATAGTTTCTCCCACTCTTACCCTACTTTTGAAGTCCGCTTCTAAATTTTTCACACCAAACTCATCGATTATTGAAACTGGCTCCAGAAAACCTTTGCTGGGAAAGAAAACCTATCCAATATCTTCGTAGAAGCACAGAAGAACTGTCACGCTTGTGAACCAACTTGTAATCTATGCATTGAGAATTGCCTTCCGTTGCAGATACCAATTGAATGCCTTTGGATGACAGAGTCGTTGACGACTCGAACAGGGCTTTTGATCTGTTTACTCACACTCTTCCCGTGTAGATTCATCGACTATTCTCACACAGGACAGGGCCCTGGTCGGGGATTCCTTTACCGTGAGTCACTCTGCTTCTCGAGGTCCTTTTCTCAGGGTTTCATCGCATAGCTCTCCTACTCTAATTCGGGAAGACCGATTACTAGCACTGCCTTAATGTATATAGCACTGGTGAGAAAATTTTCAATTCTCATGTCACTTCAGATTTTCGCATGAACATAGGTGGGGTAGCTGCAACAAAGGCTACAACATATGGTCCGGGGATCAAATCTCGGCTTAATATCCTAGCGTCTATTCAAATCTTATTGATCAGTCGCTTTCAGAGGTTTGGAAGTTGCTGCAAAAGCACTTAAGAAGGTTATACTCAGAAAGATAAGGTCTAAAAATTAAAGTGCTATCAGGCTGTAAAGTTTTGGCTGCGGGAAGAATCGGCTTCTCGTGAAATAAAATCACAGAATCCAATGTATGTGTAATGATTCACGAAGTAATAGCAAAGGCGTGTGAACCAAAAAAAAATGTGAATATTGTATAACAATCACATGGCGGTACGGAAAAACAACGATATTAGTCACTCTTAGTTGCGAGTGTCAACCCTTCCAAGACAACAGCGACACTGTCTAGAAATGACAAAGAATAGAACCAACTAAAGAGCGTACTGCTCTCTTCAACCACAGCAGATCGTATTAGATTATACCAAATGCCGCCATAAATAAAAATCGGATTTTCTCAAACCATTTTTGTAATTTTGAAGTTCACAATGAGAGGAAATGATAAAACTGTTCGGCCATGTCTCCTTCTGTCAAAACTAGGAATAGACACAGGTCAGAGGTCAAGTAAGAGCGAAACACAAACTATTCTAAAGGCAGCGGACCTTTGTTTCAGAATGCGGACACGATGCACGTCTTGAATAAAGTGAATCCCTCACGCCTAAGCATGGCCATACCCGCCCCCACTTGTACCCTCGCCCGCTCACCACTCTCGCCCGCCGTCCGACTTCTAGCCTGTTCAAGAGAGAGGAGAGAGCCTAGCGCTGAGAGGCAATAACGATGAGACACTACATAAACGTCGCAAAATCAATCGAGGCAAAAAAATGCGTCCCTTCTCGGGTTTAGGGCCGTTTTTTCTTATGATGGTAGTCCTTGTTATCGTTGACCACCTCTATCGCATATTTCTAGAGGGCCATCATTCCATCGCAAACTTCCTTTAACCCATTGCGGACCGCGTGCTGCACCATGTGCAGCACGCCACCACGCGGAGAAGGATAGTAATCTTCGATTTTTTCAGCATTTTGCTAAGTTACAAAATCAGCAGTTTACTTTTTCAGACACAGGATATATCAAGTATTGCGTACTGGTTAAATTTTCGATAGATTATTGGCCACTGATAAAAGAGATGACAAAAACCTACGGAGGTGCAATTATAACGGCGGTCCGCAATGGGTTAACACGAAGACTTTTTTGGCATAATCCACGCTGCGTGCTTTAATTTAGGAGGACAGTCGGAAGGGTTGATCCGTGGCTTTATCGTGTTTGGATGATTCTACCTTCACGACAGGGAATACGCTAGTCTCGTTCATTACTGGAGTGGCCGATCACACAGCTGCGTAGCTGCTTTGATACCATGGGTAGAGATCGGAAATGTGTACACCCTACAAAAATGTTTAGCTGTGAGCAAAAACTTTCGTCCCAACCGGGGCTCGTACCCGAATCTTTTGCTCTACGGGCTGTTGTGCTACCGATTACAAAAATGTGTACGCACTATTGCACCGAAGACGTTAACAGTTCACAAACGTCTTGAGAGACTCATTTGGCATTAGAGAAGGTTTCGTTTGTCGGTGCCAACGAATTTCCAGTGGTTGCGATACCTACATGCTCAATTATGAAAGGATCTTCGTTTCCAAATGGTGTGGAGAGCAGATGGCGAGTTGTCTGCTATATTCTCGCCTTTTATCGTGGAAATGGGAACGTGGCTAACAAAGAATCTTGAAGACGTCTATCACATCTCTCGTACATCAACAGCTCGCTGAGGAACTGGTCTTCCACCAAATGGCACGCTATGTTAACAAGCGGTTTCGTGATGCTTGCAGAAAGAGGGCAATAGGAAAATCAATCAAGATCGGACCTCTCCCAGGTCAAGTAAACTTATCATCCGTCAAAGGTAACCGAACCGGTGCCTTACCCGTTTGGGAGGATCTGACAGTTACCAGCCAATTTTGTCCTTGAAGCTTTTGCATGCATATGACAGATTGCATTAATTCGTTGACGACAATGCGAGTTTTGGTGTTTTTGGCCATGTGGGACCGACGCGATTTTGCGACCGCATTTGTCGCGGTATACATATCCCCGCACGGTCCAACAAGGCCCGTTTTTGGAAGCTCGAACGTATAAACAACTTTAGAGAGCGGTGACTAAGTAAGTTAGCTTACATGATAAAAGCACAAACAAAGTGGCTCCTCCAGCAGAAGTTTCGATTGAGTAAACGCCTATTTAGGGTTACAAAATGGATCAAATTGAAGACCTTGTTGAAGAGTGTTCGTATACGTTTTCTAGTTGGATTTTCACAACATGGCAATTTTATCGCTCTCACCGTTTTGGCCGGACATTCAAATGCCATTCACAATTTCACTTCTTTCTTAGGAATTCGTGTGAGTGCACGAGTTTTGGAGACCTTTGTTGAACTGAAGCATATTTAACTACTTAATGGATCACATCGTTTATAATTATACTAATATCCGATCTATAAAGTAAAAACAAAAAAGTTGTGCGAGGAAGTGGGTACGGGAGACATATTTCCGGCCTGCAAAGCGCTCTAGGTGGTGCCGATGTATGTGCAAAAATGATGCTGCGTGATAAAAAGTCTTTTCGTAATCACAACGTCACACCAGAAAGAAGCGTCAACACTGGGTTGGAGCACGGGTTTACGCCTGTTTCCCTAACCATAATTGCCCAGTAAGTGTTTAGTTAGTTAATTCACTTTGTTTATTTTGTTTATTTGCTTGGGATGGTTTTAACAACCATGGCATCACAACACTTGCATAGCGGGTTTGCAGATCCCTGGTTTTGTTAGCTGTGAATTGCCCTATCATTCAAGTCCTGATAACACCCAACGGCTTTTGCAGACGGAACCGAAATGCAACCGACAAACTGACACATCAAGGGTGTGGTTTATTAAATGGAGTAAAAATGATTGTATTTATTCCTCACAATCACGCTCTAGATGAAGTAATGTCTGGGCTCACAATCACGCTCTAGATGAAGTAATGTCTGGGCTCACAATCACGCTCTAGATGAAATAATGTCTGGGTTTCTTAGTGACATACACAAAGCGGCGTCGAGTAGTCGTTGGCATCGTGGTTGTCTCTTCATAATCATCATCGAATCTCACAAGTTCACTCAGGGCTACTTGGTTGGAAGGAGAGCGCGAGCCGAACTGAGACGGAAGATCCACCTAAACAACTTTGACATTCTCGTATCCCTGTACAATTTTGTGCAGAATGCTTCGTTGAAAAATAACGTAACAATCACCCTCTCCTCCTGTTGTTTGGGCTCGGATGTCGTTGTCTTCCTGGTAGGTGTGGTCGTGGATGGTGTTGTCGTCGTTGATGTTGGGCCTAACGAATTAACAAAACTTTCACAAGATTCCCTTAATCCACGGAAACTCAAGCACTTACTTGGAGATGGTGTTTTCATGGTGTTGACCTCTGGAAGCTTTCGCGTTCCAATAATGGTTCCTGGTGCCCGACCGTTCACTCCGTGAGATCTGCAACGCACAAATCTAATTGTAAGCCAACTACTCCTAGATATTGATGAATTCTTCGTAAAGTATTTCGCTCCCAAAACGGCATTCGAAGACTGGGAAGGACCGAGAAATAGGACATCGTATTTAGACAATTTAATGGATTGAAGGGAGAATTTCACGATACAGTGGACGTCCAAGAAGCGAAAATGTGCCTACTGGAAAGGGGGGTTGGCTCCCTAAGGGGTCGTCCCTTTCTTGATGAGTATATTTTCGCTTCGTAGACATCTAGTTATAATCTTCCCAATACTGTTCCAGTACGTACTATTATTCCTCAACTTGCGGGGTGTTCACACCTGGAAATGAACTAGTAAGCGAAACAGAAAGGATACAGTAAAAGTAGTCAAAAAACAAGGATAACAAAAAAAAAAAAAAAAAAATCAAAAGCAACCAGGAAAAATAAGAAAACGGGAAAAAAAAAAAACGCTGTGCAAATGCGAGTCACTGAGAAAAGAGGAAACGGTGGGATCGACGGAAGACCACAAAAATATGAGTGCTACCATTCTTCGCGGTGGACAAATGTCCGACGTGATTGGGTGCACTGCGAGAGTATATGAGAAAAGGGGCGATGTATGTATGAGGGCTAAGATCGGGCGTGCACGCACCCCGTCTGTAGAGTGACCGACACAAGGCGCAAATGGGAAGGCCTGAGCGCTACCATGACCCATGCACCAGCCACAAAAATCGTATATTTTTGAAACTGTGAGCGGCTCTGTCCAATCTGCGGCGAGAGGCATTGAGTTCTGACTTCAATTCTTTTTTGTGGCGAAGTAAATCCAGTAAATTCTAGAGGCCCTTCCAATCAATTTCAGACCTTTGTATATCAACCCACATGCGAGACCGGAGCGTCTGATGAGGATCAGTATGAATGTTGGGTAAGAAAAGCCCACTGCGCCGACACTTTTGCGAGTCGGGCGTTTCATGCTTTCGGCGAAGAAATGCGACGGAAATATTGTGTGACACGATTTCTCTGGAAAGATGCACCTTTTCGACCGGGCGGTCCGACAGTCAGCGTGAGCAGGCGGAGCACTTTCTTCAGTGAAGTTGGTTGGTGCCTGGGGACCCAGTTCCATTTGAGGGCTCTCATGAAGTGGGATAGCAGCGCTATAAAACATTGTCGGTTGATAAGCACGTTGAATTTTTCACATGCTTCAAAATTGCGAAGCAGTTGCAGCTGTGATCACAGCGCCACACTGCTAAAAAGGGTGGAACGATCTTGCTGACTTGCAATGTTCCCCCTACTTGAAAAGGATAGCATTCTGAATGGCTGATGCTACCCATAAAGGCTTAGAAATTATCTGCTCGATTAGCTCTTGACCAAAAACTTACCTTATTACAGGGTGAGCGATCTCGAGAACATCGTCGTCCTCCGATGACCTCTCCTTCGCTGTTGTGTTTTGGGGCTTGCGTGGAAGGGTTTGCGATTGGTTTTTTGGCATGTAGGGCTCTAGCAGTTTGTGCTTAAGATCTTGCTTGAAATGCGTTTAGTATTAGTATTAGAGAGGAAACATCAATTTCATGACGCAAAGAGAATAAGTGCCAGGTAGGTTCTGCGGTGATCCGAGCGAGCTCAACTTCTTGTTGATTTACAGTTGGTGAGCGCTCCATCGCGAGATGGGGAAGCGAGTGCTATTATAGAGAGAGGAGGTCGTTCAGGGTGTGCCAAGCTTTTTCAAAATGGTTTCTTGCATGACATTGGGGCACATGTGGGAACCACAGAAGCATGGTTCATTTTTCCTGAACGGCCCTCTGAATACCAAAAAGGGGTCCCTAGTTCGATTCCTCGTGGTGACAAATTTTTGCATTTCGAGTTGACGTTTCAAAATTCGCGCAAAATGGAGTTAGCATGAATAATTAGTACCATATTCATGATTAGGACCGTCAGTAACCCTTACAAAAAGACTTTGATCAAAGGCACAACCCAAGCAGAGCTTCCCTCTGGCCTATGGCGCGGACCCTCAGAGGACAATCACAAATGTGGCGTTCCCGTGCACGGAAACCAACCGACAAGAGCGCTTGGGCCTTGCAAAGTAAGCTGCTGAAGCTGCAGATTTTTTCTCTTATCAGGCTGTTGTCTGGCGCTCTCTCATCTGTAGCGCTCTCTCGCCTCATACTCTCCTCTCCGCGCTTAGTCTCTCATTCCCTTAGCACAGCCGATTAGGAAGGTGAGTGAGCCCTTAACCTGAGCGTTTTCGACGGATTCTTTTCCTTTTTTCTTTACTGCCGGCCCACTTCCACCAATACATTCGCATTCGTGTGCAAGAGCCACACCAATGTGATCCTGGGGCATGCCTTTAAAAAAACTGACGACAAAGGTGTGACACCATAACGGCCCCACTGTGATGTCAGAACTTTTCCGTTCAGGAAAAATGAACCATGGTTCTGTGGTTCCCGCATGTGCCCCAATGTCATGCAAGAAACCGTTTTGAAAAAGCTTGGCACACCCTGAACGACCTCCCTTGTAAGATATTTCAGCCACTCTAACAATAAGTGAAAAACGCTATTCGTGGCTCAGAACTCAAGATCGAACGGGAAAGATGGACGGTACCTTTTCGTCGCTGTATATTATATCAGCTGGGTTCAGCGTCTCGTGGTGTGTTAAGCGTTCAAACGCAACATTTACTTTTGAATCTTTAGAAATGCCAGGGCCTATGAGCAGCGAACGTTTCACACTTGACGACCGTGTGGTATGATGTCATCCCATACTTTCGCAGACTAGTTTTCCTTAATTTATTTGGCATTTTTTCCTGTTCCACAACGGTCCATGTACATTATTGATCCGAAAAACAATTTTTCCATTACTGATAATGAAAACGCTGAAGGATTGATGCTATTGATGAGAGAATACGAAAAAAAAGTTGAAGCGGTACGCGCACAACTGTGGTCGTTAATGGGTGGATTCACGGATGACGGAGAGTATGAGACTGTGGGTTTGTTGCGAGAGCATAAACAGCTGTGAGTCGTTCCATCCACACAGCAAATAGTACACTTATCCAGGAACAGTGCCAGAGAGGGACATGCCAGCCTAGAGAGATCAGCTGTAGATCAGCTGGTCTGAGCGGTATATCGACAGGGAGGTGGTAGGAGTTGATCGCGGGGGTCATGAGAGGCCACCTTTGCCAGAGGGAAACGAG